ATAAATATTTCCCATGGTCTTAGGAACCAAGAGACTGCTCCTCAAACCAAGACACTGCTCCTCTATCCATCTCCAGCCGGGTCTGCCCACATGCAGATATGCCCACATACAAGTACCTGGCATGATGACATCATCGCACCAACTCCATCACATACACCCCGTACAAATACAGGTGTATGTGGCAGGGTTGGCACCATAATGTACTTATGCAGACCAGTCACATGTGTAGAGAGCAGCTACTCTGTTAAAAGCAGCTACTGAGTTGAAAGCACTGGTATTGGAGGTAAAACGACACTTCATGAATTATAACTACAGATGGTTTTTGTGATTAATCATTATGCTTTAAATATGTTCAATTTGTAACAATGAAAATATATCCTGCATATCAGATGTTTACATTACAGTTATGAAGTAGCAATGAAAAGAATTTTATGGTTGGGCGTCACTACAACATGAGGAACTGTATGAAAGGGTCGTAGCATTAGGAAGGTTGAGAACCACTGCCTTAGTCAAATGTGATCCCTCCCTCCACTCAGCGCCCAGAGTCCCATGCTGGCTGTTGCTCCTAGTGCACTCTCACCTTTTGCTCTCTGTTAAACTGTTTGTCTTCTGTCCCTGTAGACTAGAAACACCCTCAATCTCGCACCTATTTTTTCTCAATACTGTCTCAGGCTGGTAAGTTCCCTTTACTTAATGCCATTTCAAAATGACATTCTGCCAAGAGGCATGGTTTCTTGCTCTTTGTTGTTTCATAAAACTAAATAATACCAGGCTATGTGTGTCTCTTTGGAAAGATGCCAGTTAAGTTACCAAATACAGCCCACTCCCCTGGAAGTGAACCAGCCTCTGAGCCTAAAATAGTGATTTGAGGAATGTCGGGGAGTTATATGTCAGCCGGTTTTCTGACAATTCATGTTGACAGAATTTCATTTCAATGTCATGCAAGCCAAGTAGAGTTTCTTAAGCCAAGATATTTTTTCTCATGACTGAAGCTAGTAACGCCTTCTTTTCTCTTCTAAGACAAATTGTGAGATTGCTGATGCCTCCTGTTTAGCAGCTTTGTCAGTCATTTTTCAAGGGTTTGAGTTCCAGGTACTTGGTACACAACCCCGGACAGACATTGTACCTACTCTTGGGAGCTGTCTGCCTAATAACTGGTTCTCTTATCTCTGTAGCTCTAGTTAACTCCAGCAGCATTAGCTAATGTGACGAGCTCTCAGATGTCACGAAAATCAAATAATTTTTACTATCAGTGACATCATACCATTTGGGAAAAAAGAACTTTTGCCGATTGTATCTGGACACACTATGCTAACACGTGCTGTGTGGCACGAGGTCCCTTCACCTGTGCCCTGATGGCATGCTACCCTGAGAATTCAGGCCATTCAAAATAGCAAACTCATTCTGCGTGCTTCCCTCTGTTGATGTGAAGTCTGGCGCTGATTGTGTGAAGAGAGCGCCAGTGCCCGACTGCAGTGACGCTCGCAGTTCTGTGGAAGTCATCCACAGGGAAGCCCTCCCCTAACGTCATCACAGGTGTCAGTTCCATCTTTCCATTCTTCCGAACTACCATGACCGCACTGTTCACCTCTCAGTATGGAGGTGCCAGGAAGTCTTCGTGAATAGCTCCCATTGATCATCACAGAGGACACCACAGAAAGCTTAAAAAAGGGTTGGATTACCTCATAAAGAACTTATGTCTGAGGCATTCATGCCCTTAGGACATCTCAATCGCAAAAACAGGGCTAAGGATCCAGAGGTATCCTGGAGAAGCCAGGGGAGATTGCCACATCTGACAAACGGCCGCTGCATCAATTAATTTCTAGAAAAGCCTGAATTATTTTTTCATCATTGTATGGGGGACTCATACAGCTCTTCTCACAATCCATCCATTAAGCACATTTGTACATTTGTTGCCATCATTTTCAAAACATTTTCTTTTTACTTGAGCCCTGGGTATCAGCTTCTCATTTTTTCCCTCCCTCCCCATCCTCTCTCCCTCATGAATCCTTGATAATTTATAAATTATTATTATTCTTTCATGTCTTACACTGACCAATGTTTCCCTTCACCCACTTTTCTGTTGTCTGTCCCACTAGGAGTGGGTTATATGTTGATTATTGTGATCGGTTCCCCCTATCTCCCCCCACCTTTCCCTTACTCTCCTGGTATCGCTACTCTCATTATTGGTCCTGGGGGCTTTATCTGTCCTGGATTCCCTGTGTTTCCAGGGAATCTATACCCATGTACATTCTCTGGTCTAGCCAGATTTGTAAGGTAGAATTGGGGTCACGATGGTGATGGGGAGGAAGCATTAAAGAACTAGAGGAAAATTGTA